TGGTGGTGTTTAAAAGAACTGATTATGGGTTTGATAAAGGAAATAAATGTCAAAGCGATATATTAGTTTTAGGAGGAGACTAAGTCCTGGGTAAGTGCTGCTCATTTGTATCTAACTATGACATAAAGTACTTTGGAACCTACTACTTTTTAAACTGTTACTAGGATACTGTTCCTACTTTTTCTCGTTTAAACCCCCATATTTTAAGTATCTTCTTTGCCTGACTTTAGTAGTGCTAAATTTTAACAGTTTTAAACAATTGTAATACTTTTCCTTCTTCCTATGTTTACTCAAGGTTTGCCTGTACTTGAAAGGGATCGCTAATGGCTTCTCACAGTTTAAGCCAGTCCCCAGGAGAGAAGAGAATCCCTGGCAAAGTGATGATTTTGGCCAATGCAATTGCATTACTTTAGGGCTTTTGCTGGCAAAGTTCTGCTGGTTAAGGGCCTGAAAAAAGCCATGTCCTGTGAAAGCGCTGTGCTGGCAAAAAAGACTAAGCATCATATTCTTAATATTATTGTTGGAGTTTTTGTTTTCCTTACAGTCTATGAGGAAAATGAGAGCAGACAGACCTCATTTGCTTTTCATACGTCAGTAAATTTATGCCTTGTGTGCTTAATTATTTGAAGCAGTTCCAAGGCAGAGCCTCTTGAGTAGCTGGGTTGGTTGGCACTGTCGACTTGCCATGTCCTTGCACCCTGGTCATTTAGGAAGACCTGAAACAAGCTGCACTTTGTTTTGGCTGAATATGTGCTTATTGGTGATGGAGTTCAGAGCTTCTCTTCCCCTCTTTAAAGAGGAAAAAAAAATCTGTTTTAAAAGGAATGATGGGTTCTTCAATATATTCACTGTATTTGATGAGGGCGTGGGAGTGAATATATTGAAGGCAAACATATGACTTGAGCATTTCTTTGGCTGGGATTAATGCATGATGTTCATTTTGGCCCTCTCTGTTGCAAAATAGTGCTCTACAAGACAGGTTGTGCAGAGACCTGGGCAAGAGTTGATGTGTGAGAAGCAAGCTTGGAAAGATCAACTTTTAGAAGCTAATTTTAAGCCTGACTACTCTGGGGTTATGAGATCTAGACCAAGCAAATAAGAGCCAAGGACGTGGGCAGTGAGCAAGAAGCAGAGCAGGAGGAGGAGGATACAGCAATAATTAGCAATATAGAAACTGCCTGATCTGTAGGAAATAGATATTCCAGTAGAAAAACCACTTCAAAACCTGCAGCTCTACTTTGTTGGAACTTCTTGGATAAGTAAGTGACTCCAGGCCTTTGCTGCATGGCACATGCCTTGGGTGGTTAGCTCAGACACTTATCTCATGTGAACACATTTGCCTTGTCATAGCCTTTAAACTCCCATGAGAGCAGCTGAAAGACACAGTTGTATGTGCCTGTGGCTTGAACAGAAAAGCACAGTTGGGTGTGGGGCAAGTGGCACAGAGGGGATGGGCAGAGCCCCAGCACTTGGCTCCTGTGCCCCTGGGCTGGATGGTCTCCAGATGTGGGTGATGTGACAGTGGTGGATGCTGCTGCAGGAGCAGGGTGTCCCTCAGGCTGTGCGGGCCATGCCCTCTGCCTGTTTGAGACAGATTCAGCCATGAGCAGAATGAATGTCACTTTCAGTGTCACTTCATTTGAGATGCAAGTGTAATGAGGCAGGGCACTGAGCTGCTGTTCTCATACAAGTGGCAAATGTGCCACAGCACCACTTCTCAGTGTCTTTCAGCACCACACTGGACAGTTTCCAGTTGCAATACTGGAAATGAGGGGGGGATCCACCAGGTTTTGCTGTTCAGTAATGAAACACATGATCAAATCCTTTCAGACGTGAATCCTTTTTCTTCAGCTGGCATAAACTCAGTCCAGTCACGTAGCTTTCATAGCTCTCGTATGCTACACACAGCTGGTGAAAGGCTCTATAATGCAGATTTAGGACTTATAAAAGTGTCATTTTTGTTTCAAGGATGCTGACAGCATGGGAAATAAAAGCAGAACATGCACTTTATGGTGTTCTCAAACATGTCTGTCAATCCCTTAACATCCTTATCTCTGTGGCCCAGTGTTCCTTATCTGTACTGTGATGATAAGAGTGTACAGCTTGTATCACAGGAGAAATGGAGCCTGTGGACCTGGCTGGGGCAGGGGGCAACTAAAATCCCCCGATCTTATGGTCTGTTCTGTACCACTGGTGACTGGGAGCTACTGCTCTTCAGAGCCAGGTATACCATCCTGCTTCTGAGGATGACAGCCATGCCTGGCTCTTAGTTCAGAGAAACTGCAAGTGCAAATGAGGCCATTAGTTGAGGAAAATTATAGTTTTGGTGCAGTGGAGGGAGGTCCATGCTTTGAAGGGCTGGGCTTGGCAGCAGGATGGGAAAGGACAGGGTGAGGCTCCTGCCCTCTGATGCTCTGCATGTCTGGAGAGAAACACTCGAGAATGTTTTAAGTGAAGTTCAATAAAGCTGTTGGGGAAAAAAGTTATATCAGGTGGGATTAAGAGAAGGTGGAAATAGCTGTGGCTCTGCAGATCTTGGTGAAAGGGGAACCATGGAAATGTAAATAGCCTTTCAAAGGCCTGGGTCAGACTGCTGGGCTTGGGTTTGCCCCTTGGACAGGCCGCATGCCTGTGAAAGGGGTGAATTATTTCCTTATCCTGCAGAGGCATCCTGGGGAGTGCTTTAAAATTAATTTGATGGAACATGCTGTAGGAATGTGAAATATTAAAACAATTACTGTTTAATGTATTGCTTGTCTTAAGTCACAGCATAAATACCGTATATGTTCTAACAAGAGCAGGAGGTGCTAGCTTTACTGCTTTACTGTGCTCTTTGTTGCTGCTGTGGACCTCTTCCAATGTCTTGCAAATCATTTACACCAAGAGTGGCTGGAGCCTGAGGCTGTGAGGAACCCTGGGAGCACTGTGGGGCTGCAGGAAGGATTGGCCTGATTCTGATAAACACAGTGGGCTGTGTGCCCTGTGTTGGCCATCCAACCCTCCCATTATCAAAGGCAAGACACTGAGAAGTCCTGGTGTGGTCTGTGGTGGTGGCCCAAGTCCTTGCTTGGCTGAACTTGGCTGGAAAAAGTCTACCTTCTGTCTAGCATTGGGTGAGAGAATCTGGCCCCAACATATTCATTCTCCGTAAGGAACTGGAGGGCAGGTATCCTGCTTGCAGATCCAGCTCGAGGAGGAATGATAAGACCACGTTCACACAAATTTGTCTCTTTAAACTGACTTGGTAGTTCCACGCTCCCCAAATTATAGATGTGTTTTCTCTGCATCATTTAATGCATCTAGGCTCTATTCGGTTTGATGCCCCAGGTGAGCCAGAGAAGCGCACAGACAGGTTGTGTGTGATTTCTGCAGAGTGCCAGTGGCATCCGTGGTGTTTGGTGTAGCTCTATAGCAAACTGGGACCTATCTGCCAACCTTGGCTGGGCCAGAATGACCAGTAATGGGATTGCTTTGGTTGGTGTGTGCCTCTGATGCACCCATGGCCCTGGGAAGAGGAAGCCAGGGCCAGGCCGGAAAGGAAGGCAGTGAGCGCTGGGCAGAGTGATGCCTAAGGCTGAGCCCACTGCAGCCCATTGTCATTAGGATGGATGTGCCTGATGAGATGGAGTCAATCCCAAAGCATTCCTCATAGGTTTTTTCCTTGTTCCTGTTTGCTTCGAATAAAGTTAATGTGCTTCAGCCCATGGCTGCTCTGTGTTCCTGGAGGAAAGACAGTGCTATGGAGCTGCTGCCAGCCCCTCTCCTCCAGCAATCTTTTCCACTTCTGTGGCTTTACCTGCCCAGGAGAGATGGGCTTTGCTCCTTTAGTGTTCGACGGGGTTTTCAAATGATATGAAAAGTCATCAGATACTTACAGTCTATTGAACATGGAGTTTGTCATTCCCTGTGTGCTGTCAGCCTGTGATTTTCTGCTTGTTCCCACCTAATAGCCAGGAAATTAAGTGCAGTAGCTCACAGTTCCTCTGTACCATCTTACTGCTAGAGAACAAAACACTGAGGAAATAAAATGATCTGGGAGGAAGATGAAACCTATGCAAGAAAGTAACCATTCATTTTTTTAATTATTATTTCTTTTTCAGGTTCTACATTGAAAGCATTTCCTTTCTCAAGGACAAAACTACCGTGGAGCTGTTCTTCCTGAATGCCAAGTCCTGTGTTCACCAGGTAAGGCTCAGCGTCCTTCAGAGCACCTTGTGCATCTCCTCCTTATCCATCCCACCTACCCTTAGGAGTTGTGTCTGACTTCTAAATCTTATTGAAGTATTAAGATCTCAGCATGCTTAGTCTCCTCTTTCACTTAAATGCTGATGCTTCAAGCAAGTGGATAAGGATGATAATGGTTCCCTGGTCCTGTTTTGCAGCCCTGCTGTGTACTCACCACACTAGAATAACTCTTAAATACTCAAAAGCCTTTAAGTTGCTTGAAATCTGGGTTGTAACTACAGGTAGGCTCTGTCTCAGTGGCATATCCTTCCATATACTGCATAGCAAACACTCAAGTCAGACTTGTCTCTAGAACAAAAGAGGTGTAAGGTCTTGGACCCACTGTGAACTTGGTTCCTAGATCCCTGATTTCCTGCCTTAATTCAGTGAAGTAATAAATCCTATGAAGAAGCAATAATAACTAGTTATTTAAACACTTTCTGTATTTACTCTTTGCCTAAAAAGCTTACACTGTTTTCTTAAAATGTTCAAATTGGTGAAGTACATATTTTTAAAAGTTACTTCATGATATGGTAGCCAAAATATTAAATAATAATGTAGATCTGCTGCAGGTATGTCTTGGTCTGAAAAAAGAGCTTTCTGGCAGCCGCTGTTGCCATGCCCCTTATAACTAGTGGTGCAAAGCAGCTGCAGTTTAATGAACTTAAGCAATGCCTGATGTTACTGGGATTTACCAGTTAATGTCGAACTTGTGCATCTGGTGCCTTTATTTTACTCATGGTTCAGTCACTCTAAGAGGGAGACTCGGTTCTTACAACCTTTTCTTGGAAAACAATCCCGTACCATTAGCTGGTAGTGGAGCTCAGTGGAGCCAGCCAAAGCTTCCACCTTTAATATGCTTCAGGTTTTAGAGGATTCTTACTCAGTAACCAGTGTTCATTATTTTATGGTGGGATTAGAAACCTGCCATGAAAAGTGGTTAATGGCAATGTTATGACTGTGCTTTGTACAGGAACTGCTTTCTGGAAGAGTGGAGGAAATTGGTGCCTTTTTACAACATGCTAAAGTTTTCAAGGTGCTTCAAGGACCTGGGGCCTCACTAGTTAAGATTAGTAAAAAGCAAATCTCCATTTGATGTATCTGCCACTTTAAATGAAGGGTTTTGGCAACTCGTAGTCATCCTTTCAGGGGAGACTGGAGCAGTTCAACTAGACAGACAGCACTAGCAATTTTGGAACTGGAAAACGGGTCTGGTTTTAGGGCGGAATGTGAAAAATGAATGTGTTGAAACAAATGCTACTCAATATTGTAACATTTGGGTATAATATATGTGTTTATGCATAAAGCATAAGAGAAAACAAAAAGGAGAAACATAAATAACCTGCCCTCACTGATCATAAGCACACATGTCATCAAACAAATACAGAGTCACTTCTGGCCTGGGTAAATGCTATTGTCAAGCAGCATAACTTCATATTACTGATATGGAATGCTGATAGCATGTGAAGCGCTGATGGTGCACGGGGTGCCACAGCAAGCAGTGCATCACCCAGTTCAGGGCTTCAGGAGCTGGGAGAGGTTTGAATGAAGGCTGGTGTATGTTTTCCCCCCATGGCTTGTGAGGTGTGTGTTCTAATTGCCAGCTTCCCCATTCCTGCAAGGAAAACTGCCAGAAGCAGAGAGGGCTTTCTGCTGTGTCCGGTTTCTGTGGGCAGCAGAGGGATGAGGAACATTGCTTTCTACTGAGAGAAGGTTCTCAGGCAGTGCTGAGTGATTCCACATGTAAGGAAAGCCCCTGCTTTGCCTATGCTGGACAACTGTGCAGCGCAGCTTTAGTAGAGGACTGCAGCCACTTCAGCAGAAACCAGTTTATTTACTTTCAAGGTTGGTCCAGTGGTTTTTAACCTTCAAATTAGGTCTTTTAAAAACATCTGGTTCTACTTGGCAAATTTATGGTCAGTCGCTAGGTTTCAAGTAGTGCGTGAAGTACACACGGGGTAAAATCTATTTAAGCCCACAGGATTGGGACTTGAGGGTGCACAAAGGCACCTTGGATGTTCTCATACAGCGTGTCCATTCCTGCAGCACTGACAGGCCTTGTTGTGCTGCAAGGAAGGAGGCACAGGCTGCAGGGTGAGCAGTGTTGGCTTCTGAATATGAGAGATCCCCAGCTTTGGTGGAGCAAGTGGCTGATGTTCACTGATGACAGCAAAGAATGTTCCCTGGCATTTCTCAGTCATTAATCTAGCTCCAGGAGGTTTAGACCTGCCTCAGATTAGCTTTTCTCCCCACCCCCACCCTCCCCCATCTCCTTTCCTTTCATGGAGTGAAGAAACCCCAGTGTCTAAAAAGCAGTAACCCACTCCCAGTCCATGTACTCAGGGCTGCTCCTCAACACACAGCGTGTGCTGGAGGATGCTCTACTGGGGCCATATCCCAACCTGGGTCACTGCATGAAGCTTCTGCTCTGTGTGGGCCAGGAATGTGGGTCAGAGGATAACTGCTGCAATACCTGGGGTGTGAGAAGACCTGCATGGATAAGATTGCTTAAAAGCCAATCGTGTTTTTTGTTTTCACAAAGCTCTTTCCAAAGTTTTCACAATAGCTCGTTCTCCATAGGGGACACAGCGTGTGAAAAGCCCAGACCCAGGGTGGCACAGAGGCCTGATGCTTGATGGAGTTTGTGTTTATGCTCTTGACATTACTGAGCACTGGCATGTGTTGACAGCAGAGTAGTGTGTAGGTACCCGTGTGTGCTTTAAAGGAAAACAATGTTTTCCTGAGCAGAGGGTGATGTTGCCCTACATACAAGATGGTGCACGTTGGTGCTTCTGCTGGCATGTGGGATGCACCACAAGAGCCAGCCAAAGGCTTGGCTAAACACAGACAGTGCCACCTCTGAAAGGGACTTATCCATGGCTTATGAGGTTTGGAGGCTGCATCAGAAATGTATTTACACTATTCTTTGAGAGATCTATGGGCAATCCTGTGCATGAAATCCTGTAGGTGGCTATATCTAATCAAAGAGAATGGTGACTCCCTAATGAAGTCAGGCATGTGTTGGCTGTCTCGCTCCAGATGACTCCAGAGAGGTTTTGCTCCCAGTTGAGTAAAAATTTGGAATAATTTAGCACATTAAATATGTTAACTGATGACTATACAATATGTCATGAAATATGGATTCTGAATTATAAATAATGGAATAAAAACCTGCATAAGAAATCTGAAAGGGGCGAAGGCTGGCTTGGTGCTCTGTAGTGCTCATCCACTTTGCTTTTCCTTACTTTTCAACTCCACTTTCCTTCCTGCAAATCTTTCTGCTCCTTTCTGCAGATCAGGTACCACTTTCCTCTGCCAGAGGTTGGAGGAATCTGGGGCTTGTGCATTTTGCAATTCCTGTAGGCATTTTGGCAAGGAAGGGACAAGATAACAATAAGATCCCTGCTGCCAAAAATGTATTTCTTTCTATTCCCCACCCACTCCCCCACCTCCGTGCTCTACAGTCAAAGCTCCTTTGTGCCTCTGGGACCTTTGCTACCACATGCCAGGTTTGTGCATCCCCTTCAACCTGTGATGTTCTCTGCACAGTGAGAGAACCTCCTTGCCCTCGGCCCCTGTAAGCAGTGAGGGGGACCCATTGTCAAAAGCACAAGAGGGCTTAGACCTCATTTTTACTTTGGCAAATCATATTGTAGCAGCATTACAGTTCTGCAACCAGAGCGAAGAATTACTTTGCACCAAACAGGAGGCCTGCGTGGCTGCTCCTATCTTAACCCGTTAGCACCAGCATCTTCCTTCTGCACTGAGCAACATAACTTTGCTTGATACACCTGGAGAATAAACTTCCTCTCCTGGATTTGCCATCACAACCCATTCAGAATTTGCTGACCATGCCCTCCCCACATCTCCTTGCATATGAACCGAATGCAACATCTGCTGTTGCCTTTGTAAGAGCGCCCTGGGTTTCCTTGCCACTTGTGTGTGCCTAAACCTTGGCCTCCAGCCCATATAACAAATGCTACCTGTGCTCTTGCCCTGCCCTCCTTTCATGTTGAGCTGCCCATTTTTCCCCTGGTCTGATGCTGTAGTCCCCAGGCCTTCAGTCCTGTGTGGTCCAGACACATAGAATCCATGGCTTCCTGCTCTCCAGAATCATAGAATCATAGAATAGTTAGGGTTGGAAAGGACCTTAAGATCATCTAGTTCCAACCCCCCTGCCATGAGCAGGGACACCACACACTAAACTATGTTGCCCAAGGCTCTGTCCAATCTGGCCTTAAATGCTTCCAGGGTTGGAGCATTCACGACTTTCTTGGGCAACCTATTCCATTCTCTTTGTGCTGGAGCTTGGAGAGGTTGGCTTGTCCAAGAAGAAGAAGCCAGGAACAGCTCGGGCCACTAGCCAAGAGGTGGGAAACAGTAACTTAGATCTCCAGGTCTATGGAAGTGCCTCCCATCCACCTAGTTAAAAGCTCATTTATCCACATGTAATTTGGCAGAATGCAAAGGCTAGAAAGATGCTTTGTATATGCCTGGGCTCTGTTTTCTACGTGTCTCTCTTTCCCAAGTCTTTGAGAACTGCTGCTCAAAAACCTTCCGTGGTGACAACTTCAATTTAAAAGCTTTCTCTCCTGTCACTGACTTTAAGAAGCTGGGTTTAGATTTACAGTTATCTCTGAAACGTACTGTACAGCTGGAATTTAAAATGGTGAAAGTCTAACACTTGGTTTCAGGTGAAATGGGTATCTCAGGATTGATGTGTTTGCACAGCAACAGGGGAGCTTTAACATGTTCACTGTGTTATTGCACAACCCATGACCATGGCTTGGATACTTTCAAGGAGGTGGGTGAGAACTGGTCACGCACATCTTGATGATAAATTTGGAAAGATAAATTAGTCTTTTCTTCTTTCAAAACAGCCAAGTTTGGAAAAATAACACCCTACTTGGCTAGAGAAGCACTGTCAAGTTTATTATGCATTAGAGCTAACCTCCATATAG